GAACTTCCTCGCGGTTCACTCACGGACGAGGCCCCCGCTCGAGACATCCTCACGAGTTGCCCCCTAGTGGTGCTCAAGTGCGATGACTTCTATAGTATGCCGATGACCCTCTCGGATTACTGACATGATGCGCGGGCCCAATATTTAGGGAGCTCCCGCCCGAGATGTCCACGCGATTTGCTCCTGAGGGGTGCTCCCATGTTATTTTGCTGGAATGTGCCGATGACCCGCTCGGATTGCTGACGTGAAGCGCGGGCCCCTCAGGGAGGGGGCTCACGCTCAAGTCTTCCCCGCCATTCACTCAAACGACGAGGCCCCCGGCTCGAGACATCCTCGCGAGTTGCCCCGCTTGGGGTGCTCTAGTGCCATGCCTGCTGGAGCATGCTGGTGACCCGCTCGCATCGCTAGTGCGGGCCCCATGGGGGGCGGCTCTCGCTCGAAACGTCCTCGCGGCCAACTTACACACGAGGCCCCCGCTCCAGACGTCCTCACGAGTTGCCCCCTAAGGGTGCTCCAGTGCAATGCCTGCTGGAATATGCCAGCGACCCATTCGGATTGCCAACATACAGCGCGGGCTCCATAGGGAGGGGGCTCCCGCTCGAGACGTCCTCGCGATTCACTCGCAGACGGGGTTTCCGCTCAAGATATCCTCAAGATGAGTATGTGTGTGTGTGCGTGTGTGATGGTGTGAATGGATGTGTGAGCCTGTGCGGTGATGGTGGTGGTGGTGGTGGTGGTGGGGATGATGATGATGAGCATGGCCGATGGTCATGATGTGAGTGATGATCATGGTGATGCTGAGGGTGATGATGATGCTGATTGTGGTGATGCTCATAATGGTCTTGCGACGGTGGTGGTCACGATCATAGCAAGGATGGTGATGACGACGATGATGATGATGGTGATGGCAACGATGATTACGATGATGGTGCTGATGAGGATGATCATGTGATTATGAAGAGGCCGATGGTTGCGATGATGCTGATGGTGCTGCTGCTGATGATGCTGATGAATAAGGATCACGATCGCGATGGCTATGATGTTCCTGCTGATGATGCTGACGATCCTGTTGTTGGTGATGATGATGCGCATGCTGATGATGATGGTGGTGGTGGTGAGGTGATGATGATCACCATGATGATACTGCTGATGATAATGCTGAGGATGATGCTGATGCTGATGCTAATGCTGATGATGATGCTGATGCTGCTGATGATGATGATGCTGATGATGATGATGGTGTTTGTGCTTGTGTGTTTGTGTGTGTGTTTGTTTGTTTGTGTGTGTGTGTGTGTGTGTGTGTGTGTGTGCGTGCGTGCGTGCGTGCGTGCGTGCGTGCGTGCGTGCGTGTGTGTGTGCGCGCGCGTGTGTGTGTGCGTGTGTGTGGTGGGAGGGTGTACCGTCCTGTTCTTGCAGAGCAGACAAGAGCCTCCACTCAGAAAATGGGGAACATCAATTGTCTCTTGTTGTCCCCCCCACGAGAGCACCCCAATAGTCCGAGGCGGCTGTCGGAAACGATGTAAGCAAGCACATATATAGTCGACCTCGGGTCCACGTTGCATTGCAATGGCTATGCGACTATGACCACCCCAGAGTCCCCCCTGTGCCAGTGTATTTTGCTACCAGACGCACTGCAACATCCTCCTCCTTATCCTCCTTTGTCGTTCACTTGTTTTGCTCCTAGTGCTTCCAATCGTTAACCCTTCGTCAATTTTTTGCCCCCCCCCCCCCCCCACCCCCTCCCACCCCACCCCCCTAAGGCACCCCAACCTGCGTTTGCAATCCGAAGCGGCTATCGGTAACGGTGTAACAGCACACGTAGAGATCCCCAAACGCCCCCGAAACCCTTGAACTCCTCCGAAGCCCCCTCTCGGCCCTGTCTTCGCCACTCGCCCACCTCTTCCTCCTGCTCCCTCTTTCCCGGAGGTCTCAGCCGGTCCTGGAGGCCCCTCGAGGAGGAGGAGGAGGAGGAGGAGGAGGAGGAGGAGGAGAAGGAGGAGGAGGACGCCCTCAACCCAATAGAACGACTGGATCCTCGAACCTCGGTCCTAGGCGGCGGCGACGGCGTGGTCGTCGTGGCCGTCGTGGTCGTGGTCGCCGTCGCGCTCTTGACGGTCGTGGCCGTGGTCGCGGTCGTGGTCGTCGTTGCTGTGGTCGTCGTCGTCGTGGCGGTCGTCGTTGTTGTCATCGTTCGTATTGGCAACTCCCTAGCCCAACTCAATTGGCGAAGAGTGGTGTCAGAAGTGGTGCGAGGGATGGCTTTCCCAAGGGAGTAGTTTCTGATTCTGCTGCGAGCTGTGATGTCTAACGTGGCCAGATTTGATTTTCCATGCGTAGGGCAAGTTCGCTTTGAACAATTACGTCGAAACAAATGCCACCACCGATAGAGCGAAACCATTCTTAGCAGACAGAGCGGCAACACATTGCGATGGAGCCGGAAACAGGGGCGAGCCGATTGGCGGCGCCCTCTAAGTTGACACAGGCGAAGGAAAAACTGACGAACAACGGGGGTTAGGGAAAACATGCGATGGGACAGGATGACCAATCATGGGAGTACTGCGCGAGACCCATGTGAGGGGGGAGCGCGAGGATCAACCCCAAAATGAGGACGCAACATTGGGATATCATGGTGATACCGCGTGCATGTATGTAAGAGGACCCCCCGCCAACCAGCGAACTGCAAGACCCTCTTGCACTGAGCGGGCAAGCAAACCAATCACCAAACGGACTTGTTTTTCAAATCCCTGATTGCAGTTATCTTGTGAGCACTGGCACTTTCAACCAACGTCAAAACTGCGCATATCATTGTGTCCTGTGAGCGTAAACATCTCCGAATTGAAACGGCTCCTCCCGAAACATATTCACGGCACGCATGCGGCCAACATACACATGTGTTGACGAACATCCGACGCCCCACTGTAGTGCCTGGGTGTGATCTGCCACGCTGAATTTGCATGTGTTAGTGCGGCGATGCATTTTGTTTGATAAATCTTGCTCTTGCTTTGGAGGAATCCCTGGGAGGCCCCAAGAGAGCCCCACAAGGCTTCCAAAGAGGGCACCCAAACCGATAGAAACTTGGCACAACTCGGCCCTCAACAAAGACTCTGATTGTGTCGAGTTTGTGTCTGTTTCTGGGTCCTCTTTGGGGCCACTTGGGGCCAATCTTGGGCCCTGCTGGAACACTCACGGGCAAATCTTGGGGACTATCTTGGGCCTCTTGAGGCCCATCTCTTGGGGCCCATCTCGTGCCGCTCCCCCTGGAAAAGGACTAAAACTCTACAATAATCAAATGACCTCAAACGCGAGGAGACTATGAACATCAGTGGAGTGGCAAAACCTGAGGGAGAGGCGAGGGACAATCTGTTATTACACATCAGGGGAGGACCCACGCGTGACACTTCGCTGGGAAGCTTCACCAAGCCCTGGTTTTTTCAAGGTTTCCAGGGCGACGTGTTACGCGCACCAATCGCTAAACACTTCGACGAGGGTTGCACTGATCCGCGCACCAGCTCCCAAAAGGGCTAGGAATGGCGGCGGCCCAGAGCCAGGGGTCTCGCTGCTCCCTGCGAGTCGCAGGCTCGAGTGTGAAGTGGTGCACGCATCCGGGCCGCCGATCTCGCGACACCCCTCGGGCTTTCCTCTCGTCAGGGCGACGTGCTGCGCGGAACAGTCGCGCAACAGTGCGAAATGTTATTGCGCGACACCCTGTGGATTTCCATGCTTCCAGGCGAAGTGTTGCGCGCAGCAATCACGTAGCACTTCGAAGCGTTACGCGCACCGGCTGCGTAGGGACGAAGTGTTGCGCGACTGACGCGCGTAACACTTTGACGTGTTACGCGCATCTGTGCCGCGGATCTCACCCAACCCCTTGTCATTACAGGTTTTAGGGCGAAGTGTGACGCACATCATTCGCGTACTGCTTCGATTGTTACGCGCACCAGCCGCGTAAGCATCATGGTTGTGAACATTTGTCTTGCAATATTTTGCAGCGCCTTCCCCAAATGAGATAAGAGGGAGGTCATGCAGGTCCTCCTCGGCCTCCCTATCGTCTGATGTGTTCCAAGGATATGTATGGGCCTCCTCTTGATGCTTCTGTTTTCTCTGGAAAAATGTGCGCCCAGACTGTCTGAGATAATCGGGTTGCAAGTTCTCGTGGGCCTACGGGCCATACGTTAGTGCTGCTGTTTTGCCTGCGCGCCACGGTGCGTTGTGCTTCACTGCTCGACGCAGGGCTGCTTCAAGGGCAGGCTCATTAACACCTGGCGCATTCTTGTGCGCCTCCACTGCCTCCCAAGACCCCCCGGAGGAGACTGCACCGCATCTCTCACAATGTCACTGCAATGTACAGCAAGCTTCACACTGGCATGGTGCAGCGCCAACTCCAACACGATACAAGCATACCCTGGAACACTCAAATCCAACCACTGATCTCCCCCCATCCCCTCCCCGCCTAAACTGGCAATATCTCGCATGTAATGCGAATGAGTCGTCGTCGTCGTCGTCGTCGTCGTCGTTGTCGTCGTCGTCGTCGTCGTCGTCGTCTTCGTGGTCACCGTCGTCGCCGTCGTGGTTGTCGTCGGCTCCTCTCGGGCGCTGTCCCGGCCCGCTTCCCGAGCCGCGCCCGGCCGCGGCGACGGGGGGCAGGGACTGCCGAAGGCCCAGAAGAGGACGAGGAGGTGGGCCTGAGCCGCCCCTCGCCGCCGTCGCGGCCGCCGTCGCCGTCTTCGCGGTGCTTCTTGCTTCGCCTCGTCGTCGTGCGAGGCTGAGCGGACAGGGATGACGGATGGCAGAGAAGGAGGAGGAGTGGCGGGGTGGGGAGAGAGGACTCGGGAAGTCCTGGAAGCTTCCGGACGTTTTCCGTGGCCTCTGGGTGGTTCGGTGGCCTAGGAAATCCATGGGGGGAGGGGCCAGCGTGCGACGACGACGACGTCGACGACGACGACGACGACGATTCCGTACTCTACCTGCCCAAGGCAGCCCGCCTCGTCGAACGGCACCGTCAGGCGCAGCACCCGCAGAGCAGCATAGGCCGCATCGAGATTGTGGGGCGATAAGGATGATGAGGATGATGATGACGAGAAAGACGGTGAGAGTAGCTCTTGCCATCGCGCTGCACCTGTCATCGCGTCGCAGCTGCTATCGCGTCCCACCAGCTATCGTCTCCATCCCAGACCTCCGACGTCTTGACTGATGCTCTGCGTATGTTTCTTTCTATCGGACCTCTGCAGAGCGATTATCTTCACAAAGCCGCATCAAAAGAAAATAGAAGATTGCATCTAATGCCCCAGACGGCAAGCCCTTCCCTGTGACCGCTTTTCATCTTATTATGATCCGTTTTTGGGTGGCTCCGTGATCCGAAACTGGCCCCCGGAGGCCGACATCTAGGAAAGAGTGCCAGCATTGGGCAGCACATCGCGACGTTGGAGGTCTGCGATCACGCCGCAGCGGCAATCGCGCCGCACTCGCCATCGTCTTCCCCTGCGTGCCTGTCATCTCGACGTCGCGTCAACCTGCATCTTGTAGGTCTGCAGGCGCTGGATGCACCAGCTGACCTCCTCGATGCTGGCCTTCGTGTCCTGAAGCTGCTGGTTCAGAGTTTCCCGCCGCTCCATGTACTTCTTCTGGTTCTGAGCGTCGATCTTGATGCTCGACATGTCCTCGTTGAGCCTCGGAAGAGAGAGAGAGAGAGAGAGACACATGCCGATGCCGATGCCCTTCTGTGCCCACCTGGGTTAGGTCGGGCGTGTCCTCCTACAAGCGGGTTTTGGACGACACATATATCAAAACAGACAAATGCTGAAACAGAATCAAACATAGTCACACAATCGTCCCCAGACTATGCCTGGACTATGCATGTCTTTGAATCTTCCTTCTGTCGAGGGACGGGGCCCGACTTCACCTCTGGGCCACCCGTTGGGCCCCTCGTCGCCCGCGGCGGGGCCCGCCTCGGAACATCCTGGCCAGAACGCACCCGGGAGAGCTCCGGGGAGCAGCGGCACCGCCAAGATCCACCAGCACGGAATCGGCAAGACGGATCGAATCGAAATAAGTCTAAGTCGGCGGCGCGTATTGGGGGGGGGGTATGGGGGAGGGGGGGAAGCTTCTTGGGAGGAGGCCGCTCCTCAGAGAGCGCCCGGCCCTGCATCTGCAGACCAGGCTCGCGCCTTCTAAGAAGCAGGGATGCTTCTAGGAAGCCTTCCCCCCTCACCTCCTAAGCATGGCATCGTCAAGTATGGGATCTGCGCGCAGATGGGGTCGAAAGGGAGTGCTCCTCCTCCTCCTCCTCCTCCTCCTCCTCCTCCTCCTCCTCCTCCTCCTCCTCTGCGCGCCGCCAAAGCATGAAATCGGCAAGCCGGATCGGATCGAAACAAGCGTCGGGTCGGGCCGCACAGCGGCACGGAGAGTCGAGCTCGAGTCGGAGATCGGCTGCGCAGGGATGCACGACGAGATGGGCGGCGTCGAGCCGTCGACGCATCGGAATCGGCCCGGGCCAGGGCGGCAGGGGCGCCCGAATGGGCATCATTAGCACGCCCTGCACTTGAGGGTGCCCTTCCTTTTGTCGCGCGCGACATTGTCAGGCCTCACAACGAGGCAACAGGAACGATGTCGAGCGCCGTGGCATGATTCGGACAAGCCTCGTGGAATGCAGTCCGCGCAGTAGTTTATAGAGGGGTCGGCGGATGCGGCGTAGTACTATAGAATCGGCACCAAATGGGTTCGATCGGATCGAAGTGGGCCGTGCATCGGTATCTTGGTTGCTCCCCCCAGCTGAGCCTGCGCAGCATAGGGAGCTTGAAGAAAGACTCCGTGAAGAGTTCCACCTGAGCCGGCGAAGAGCAAACATACTTTACTCATACACATTGAGATGCGTCAGCCTGCACGTGCGACGCTCGCCGTTCGCATCACGAGCTAAGTGAATAGAGATCGCGAAGCGGATCCGCACCCCCGACCGTGCGGGGTAGAGGCCGAGGCTGCACTGCGCAGCGCTGCACCACCCAGGCCGAAGCAGCGACCCCAGAGCACTGTCGCAGCACATCGCCAGATGGGGCGTCAACTGCACGCGACGTTGGGTCTCCCTCCTGCTCCTCCGCCTCCTCCTCCTCCTCCTCCTTCCTGCTTCCCTTGAGGTCTGAGGCCCCTGCTCGCGGGGGGCGCCCGTGGCTGAAGTGTTTAATCCCCGGAGGGGGGCTGGGCCTGTGGGAATACCCCTGATCAAGGCCTGCGCCTTGGGACGCCCGCTCCCGGGCCAGCGCCGCCCTCTGTGAGGGCGAGCTCTGAGCGTCGGTCTAGTGGTGTAAGTCCGTTCTCTCAGGTTCCAGTGCTGTTTGGTCCCACCCCCCTACGAGGACCAAGACTCGGCGCCCATAAACTCGTCTCGCCTCTCCTTGTTGGGTGTTGCTATAAGTGCCCCTGGCCCAAGGTGCCTCCAGCTTCTCGCTCCACTTCGGAGCCCCTGGGGTCCTCTGGGCCTCGTGAGGGGTGCCCTGGAGGCCGCCTGGGCCACCCCGAGAATCCTGCGGGTACCTTTGGCTGGGGGTACCAGGAAGAGGAAGAGGAGGAGGAGGAGGAGGAGGAGGAGGAGGAGGAGGAGTGAGGACGGAGGAGGAGGAGGAGGAGGAGGCGGAGGAGGAGGAGGAGGAGGAGGAGGAGGAGGAGGAGGAGGAGGAGGAGGAGGAGGAGGAGGAGGAGGAGGAGGATGCGCGGATCCTTGATCGCCTTGCGCACGAGGGCGCGGCCGCCTCCCACGAGTGCTCCGCGCGGGGCTGTCCCGCGCGGCACGCCGCGTGGGGACGGAAGGCGCTTCACGGCGCGCCCTCCCTCCGCACCGCTGCTCCCGGCTCCCTGCTCCCTGCCCCGTGCTCCCTGCTCCCTTTCTCTCCTCCTCCTCCTCCCTTCCTTCCTTCCCTTCCTCCTTCCTTCCTTTTTCCTCCTCCTGCTCCTCTCCTCCTCCTCCTCCTCCTCCTTCTCTCCTCCTCCTCCTCCTCCCCTTTCCTCCCTTCCTTCTTCTTTCCTTCCTTCCTCTCTCCCTCCCTCCCTCCCTCCTCCCTCCCCCTCCCCTCCCTCCCTCCCTCCCTCCCTCCTCCTCCTCCTTCTCCTCCTCCTGTTCTCTCCTCTCTCCTCTCTCCTCTCCTCTCTCCTCTCACCGTTGTCCTCTTTCCTCTCTCATCTCGGCTCGAAGGACCCTGACCCAGTGCGCAACCGCAACGCCTAGCGCCCCACCACCATCCTGGCCTCGAGAAACCAGGCGCGGCCCATCCCATGCCGCGACAGGTAAGCGTCAACACCACTTCAGTTGCGCGCGCCATGGTTCCGAAAGGTCCTCGCCGAACGCTCCCTGAACAAAGGCATCCCAAGCCACCAAGCAAGGGCCGCCAAACTACCCCCTTGCCCGGGAGCAACCTGACTCGAAAAGAAAGTCTGCGCCGCTGCGCCCCAACAGCGGGGGCGGCGTCGACCAATCAGTCGCTGTATACAAAGAGCTCGCTCATAAGCGCCACACCGATCTCGGTACCATCTACCAACAACACCGTTCCGACAAGCGAAAACATGCAGCACCGCCCCCTCGCGCACAGCAAAGCCTGATACCGTGACGCAGCACCAACAGAGACGACGGTCGGCGCCGAACCTACCAGGCAACGGCATGGCCCGTCTCATCAACAACGACGCACTCAACTCGGACGGCCCAACCGCGCCTCTGCTTCACAGGGCCGATCACGGAACCTCACAAACCAGTAGCACTCCGCAACTCGCCAAGCGTCCAAAGCCACCAGCCACGACGACGACTCGGACAAAGACCTGGACGAACATTGGGACGAACACGAATTAGCATGGCTACCTCAACCACGCGTCCAGGAGGTCGCCGTCGAGACCTCGCGCGCCAGACGCGTCCCACAACACCCCGCCGAGCGTCAAGAGACTCCAGGCTACGACAAAGATTTGGACGACGAATGGAACGCATGGCTAACAACAAATAATTCAACCGAGCGACCAGAAAATCTCCGACCAAACCGACGTCGTGACGATCCTCGAACCCACACTGACCTGCGTGGCCACCGGCCACGGGACACTGACACCAACTCGAAAAATGCCTCGCCTCTGCCCGCGCCGAGCAAACTAACCTGAACAAAGACCTGAAGGCATTCATGCCAAAAACTAATGCTGTGTTGCTCGTGCCAAGGCCGCATGGTCAACATCAGATGCCAGCCAGAGCACCAGCGACTGCCGCGCCGAACGAGGACCCCTGGAACTCACTGGTCATCCACTCCCCCGTTACCTCGGCAAGGGTATCCGCCACCAGCGGGGCCCTGGGCAAAACCGCTGTAGCCGCCCCCTGATCCTATGGCAACGACCACCAGGGTGGATCTCAGTAACAACCTAGGAGTGGCCACTGAGACAACCGCGGCGCGGCAGCTCGCTAGGTCCACCAGGACTGAAGCTCTTTCCGACAGCACAGGAGCTGGCGCGGTTCCCGCCCCTCCTTGCGTCCAGGAAGGCGCCGAAGTTGCGGTCACTAGCCACTAGCCAAGCTACGGACCCCGTTGACGGCCGCCATGGCGTCGTCAAAGGACGCACGGGGGACCAGAACCAGTCCAGTTGACCCACGGCCGCGCTGCCGCCCTGCGGACGTCAAGTCTCGCCACTCGCTTCCATCACCAAGTCGGAGAGGGGCACCACTGCTCCAACATCAGTGCTCGGGCCAGCAGCGACGTCAGACCCGCGAGCCGCGTGTGGCCCGCCGGAGACACCAGTCCCGCCTGCGCACGCGCGCGCGTGGACCCGCGCCAGGGCCTGAGCGGAACCTCCGATGCCAACAGGAGCACCGACGACTGCGCCGCCAGTAGGGCCCACGGACTGGCTCAGCGCGCGTCAGCGGAAGCGCCTAGGCAAGCTCCGCAGATCCCGGAGCGAAACACAAACCCTCGACGGGCCACTCCTTCCCGTCATCGCGGAGGGCGATGCCGAGGGCGCCCCGCGCGAGCACGTCGGCGCGTTCCCTCGCAAGGCCCTGGATGTGCGGGCGCCTGGGTGCGGCGCTGACAACGCACCGCGCGGCGAGGGCGACGATCGCGCGGCCGGGGCTCGCCTCCATCTTGGCCCCAACTCTCCTCCTCTGTGCAGCTGTGACAGGGGTGCTGGGGTCGCTCGTGGCAGTGGGAGTGTTCTGCAGCACGATTTTGCCACTTCTGCCGTCGTGGGGCGATCGACGGTCTTAGCTTGCCTCGTCTCGTCTGTTTCATTCAAGTTACTGGGCCACGCGCCTCGAAGCAATGCGCTGGCGTGCAAATGCAAAAAAAACAGATGAGGTCGAAAGTGCGCCATGTCCTCGCGGTTGTGGCCAGCTCGCCAGGCCTCGCGCCTGCAACTGTGAAGAGCGCCGCAAAGAACGCCAACCATGACTGCGCTGCGCGCGGCGCCAGGTGCCCGCCGTTCCTTCTCTGCTCGAACAAATCGATAAAGACGGAGTCGAGCAGCAGCCCGACCCGCGCGCCCGCGGCCGGGCCCGCCACTTCCCAGCGCGCTGGCCCGAGCAATCCGCTCCTGACGACCTCGACGGGCACGGGCGCCAGCTCGACCCTGGCGCGCGTCGGCTGGACGGGCACTGCCTCGAGTGCCACGCCGTTAAGCTGCGCGACGGGCGCCGGCGCCTCGACGGCGAGCGCCGGCTCGACCACTCGGGCGACCGCGAGCGGGGCGAGCGCCGTTTCCTGTGCCGCCGCGACTGCCGGCAGCGCGGCGGAGTGAAGCACCGCGGCGTTGAGCGGCGCGACGGGAAACAGCAGCGGCAGCTTCGCATCCCGCGTCTTTGAGCGGCGCGTCTGGGATCAGCACTTCGACGCCGCGCGGCGCGACGGCGCCGAGCCCCGCGGCGCCGGGCATCTGGGCGGGGTCCAGCGCGGCAGAGTCGAGCTACGCTGCGCTGAGCAGCGCGACGGGGCCCAGCGCCGGCGGCCTCAGATCAGCGAGTGAGTCGAACGGTTCAACGCTCGCCGCGCCTTTGAGCAGCGCGTCTGGGTTCAGCGCCTCCGCGCTGTTCGGCGCGACGGAGTCGAGCGGCGCGACGTTGAGCATCGCGGCGTGTTTCAACGCGACTGAGCCGAGCGCCGCGTCTTTGAGCAGCGCGGCGGAGTCGAGCGCCGCGACGCTGAGCAGCGCGTGGCCCAGAACCGCGGAGTCGAGCGCCGAGACGTCGAGCGGCGCGGCGGGGTCGAGCGCCGCGGCGTTGAGCCGCGCGACGGGGCCGGGGCCCGTCGCCAACGGCCTCTCGTCGACGAGCGAGGCGGGCAGCGCAGCGGGCGCCGCGACGCAGATCAGCGCCGCGGAGTCAGGCGCCGCGACGTTGAGCAAGGCGACGGGGTCCGGCGCGAGTGAGTCGAGCGTCGCGACCTCGGGCAGCGCGATGGAATCGGGCGCCACGACTCAGAGCAGCTCGACGGGGTCCAGCGCCAGAAGCCTCGCGTTTAAGAGCGAGACGGGCAGGGCAACGAGTTCCACGTCTTTGAACAGTACGTCTCGGGCCAGCACTTACGCGCTTGACAGCGAGGCGAAGTCGAGCGCCGCGACGTCGAGCGGCGCGGCGGGATCCAGCGCGACGGAGTCGAGCGCCTCGACGTTGTGCAGCGCCATGGGATCCAGCGCGACGGAGTCGAGTGCCGCGATGTTGAGAGGCGCGATGGGGTCGAGCACCGCGACGTTGTGCAACGCGTCGGGGCCGGGCGCCAGCGGCCTCGCATATGCGTTGGGCAACGCGACCAAATCGAGAACAACGTCGGGTCCACCTAAATCCAGACGCGCGCGCCAGACCCAGACATCCAACGCGCCTCGATACTAAATTTTCCCGACGGCGACGCGAACAAATCACCGCGCTGCACAAGAGGGCGGCGCGGAACAAAAAAACTACGCTGCAATATTTCCGGAATCAACCCGGGCAAAGGCCAAGAAAACTTACAAAACCTTGCTCCAAGACCGGGCAATGGCCCGAATCCTGGAGCGCGGCAGCAGGACAATGCGCTGGGCGACCAAGTGCAGCAACGCAACATGCACTGGGCGACTGAATTCTGACCTTGCAGGAAATTGTATCGTTTCCCGACGTGCCAATGTCCTCGTTAATCTCTGTCCCAATTTCGGGGGGGCTGGCAGCGCATCTGAGCGGCGCGACCTGGTCCAGCGCCAGCCCCGCAACAAGTGAGACGAGCAGTGCAAAGACCGCCGCGTCTCCGAGCAGCATGTATGCGACAAGCGCCTCGGCGCTGGACAGCGCGACGGGGTCGAGCGCCACGGCGTTGGGCAACGCGGCGGGATCCAGCGCGACGGAGTCGAACCTCGCGACGCTCATCGTCGAGATGGGACCCAGCACCAGCAGCCTCTCATCCACGAGTGAAACGAGAAGTGCAACGAGCGCCGCCTTCTTGAGCAGCGCGCCCGGGACAGCCACCGCGACTCTGAGCAGGATCCAGCACCGGCAGTTTCACCTCTACGTGGACCACGTCTGGGATGTTCACCGCCTTGAGCTCTTCCCCAAATCCTACTGGGTCCACAGCCCAGTGCGTCCAATGTCCGCATTGGCCCAGTGGGGGCGGGATGCGTGTACCGGCCTACTTTCAAAAATGGCATTGGCCCGCTGGGGTTGGGGTGCGAGCCCTGGCCAGCGCGGAGGCAAGGCGAGCGCTAGGCCGACCCTGATGCTCACCGGGGGGGCGAACGCTCCCTCGAGCGCCACGGTGCCCAGCTGCACGACGGCCACCAACATCTCGATGCACGCCATCACGCTGGTGAACAACAGGCCGACCCTGACGACGTTGGAGAGCAGGTGGCCTGGGCGCCTGCCTGGTTCCCCCGACCTCCGCGCCCCGCATTTGCCTGCCGGGGATGGGCTGGGCGCAGCCCTGAGTGCTGCGCTGTTGAGCAACGCGAGTGGCCTCACATCTACGGGTGAGACGACGAGCAGCTCAACGAGCGCCACGTCTTTGAGGAGCGCGTCCGGGACCAACACCGCCGCGCGGAGCAGGGCGACAGAGTCGAGCACCGCGACGCCGTGTAGCATGACGGGGTTCAGCGCGACGGCGTCGAGCATCGTGACGTTCAGCAGCTCGACGAAGTCGAGCATCACGACGCTGATCGTCACAGTGGGATCCAGCACCCGCAGCCTCTCTCATCCACGAGTGAAGCGAGGAGTGCAGCGAACACCACTTTGTTGAGCAGCGCGCCCAGGACAAACACGGCGACGCTGAGCAGCACGATGGAGTCGAGTACTACGATGCTGAGCAGCGTGACAGGATCCAGCACGACGGAGTCGAGCACCATGACGTTGAGCACCACAATGGGGGTCGGGCACCACGACGCTGATCAGCACAATGTGAACCAGCACCAGCAGCCTCACATCTACGAGTGAGGCGAGCAGCGCAACGAGCACGACGTCTCCAACCAGCACCTCCAGGACCAGCACCTCGACACTGAGCAGCAAAACAGAGTCGACAACCACGACGTTGAGCAGTCCTACATGATCCACCACGACGGACTCGAGCACAACGTCGTCGAGCACAGCGACGGGGTCGAGCACCACGACGTTGAGCAGCGCAGCGAGACCCCGCACTGGCAGCCTCTCATCGACGAGTGGGACGAGCAGGGCAACGAGCACCACGTCTGGCAACAGCAACTCGACACTGTGCAACACGACGGCGTCGATCACCAAGAGGGCAGCAGGACGGGATCCAGCGCGACGGAATTGAGCACCACGACGCCGAGCAGCACGGCGGGAATTGGCACCAGCAGCCTCGCACCTACGAGTAATCTATAATTAAACGAACTGCGCGCGAGCACCGAGCCTTTGAGCAGCACGCCGGGGGCCGGCACCTCTACGCTGACCAGCGTGGCGGAGTCGAGCACCACGACGTTGAGCGGCGCGACGGGATTCAACGCGACAGAATCGAGCGCCATGTCTCTGAGCAACACGACGGAATCGAGCACTACGACGCTGAGCAGCATGACGGAATCCAGCGCGACAGAATCGAGCACCGCGACGTCGAGCCACAAAACGGGGTCGAGCACCATGAGATTGAGCAGCGCGGCGGGGTGCAGCACCAGCAGCCTCGCATCGACGAGTGAGCCGAGCAGCCCCTCGAGCACCACGTCTTTGAGCAGCACGTCTGGCAACAATATTTCGACACTGATCAGCACGACGGGGTCGCGCACCACGACGTTGAGCAGCGCAGCGAGACCCCGCACTGGCAGCCTCTCATCGACGAGTGGGACGAGCAGGGCAACGAGCACCACGTCTGGCAACAGCAACTCGACACTGTGCAACACGACGGCGTCGATCACCAAGAGGGCAGCAGGACGGGATCCAGCGCGACGGAATTGAGCACCACGACGCCGAGCAGCACGGCGGGAATTGGCACCAGCAGCCTCGCACCTACGAGTAATCTATAATTAAACGAACTGCGCGCGAGCACCGAGCCTTTGAGCAGCACGCCGGGGGCCGGCACCTCTACGCTGACCAGCGTGGCGGAGTCGAGCACCACGACGTTGAGCGGCGCGACGGGATTCAACGCGACAGAATCGAGCGCCATGTCTCTGAGCAGCACGACGGAATCGAGCACTACGACGCTGAGCAGCATGACGGAATCCAGCGCGATAGAATCGAGCACCGCGACGTCGAGCCACAAAACGGGGTCGAGCACCATGAGATTGAGCAGCGCGGCGGGGTGCAGCACCAGCAGCCTCGCATCGACGAGTGAGCCGAGCAGCCCCTCGAGCACCACGTCTTTGAGCAGCACGTCTGGCAACAATATTTCGACACTGATCAGCACGACGGGGTCGCGCACCACGACGTTGAGCAGCACGATTGGGTCCAGCACGAATGAGTCGAGCACCGCGATGTTGAGCAGCACGACGGGGTCCAGAACCAGCAGTCTCGCACATTTGAGCGAGACGAGCAGTGCAACGGGCACCACGTCTACGAGCAGCACGTCTGGGACCAGCCCTTCGACACCAAGCAGCGCGACTGAGTCGAGCGCCGCGACCTTGAGCAGCACGACGGGATCCAGCAGGACAGCGTCGAGCACCGCGACGTTGAGCAGCGCGAAGGGACCCAGCATCAGCAGCCTCACATCTACGAGCGAGACGAAGAATGCACTGAACACCACGTCCTTGATCAACGCGTCTGGGACCTAATATTGAACAACATGAAGGGGTCCACCATGCCGTCTAGCTCCACGCTGGGCACTGACCGGCGCCGACCGCGAACCGGTGAACAGCACGACCATGAGACACAGCTCGACCCTGACGACCCACGGTAGGACGCCCAGCGCTTCGACTTCAGTCTCAAATCCTACCAGGCCCACGACCCAATATTTCCACGATCCGCATTGGGCCTTTGGCCCACTGGGGGTGGGATGCGTGCGTCGGCTTATTTCCATGAGCCGCATTGGCCCACTGGAGGTGGGATGCGAGCTTCGCCCTACTTCTACGAGCCGCGTTGGCCCACTCGGGGGTAGGATGCGAACTCCGACCGCTTGGATCGCCCTTCATCAGGCCCAATCGCCCGCTTACACTTGGGCGCCGCCCCAAGCGAGCGACCAAACGCGTCTAGGTGCCTACCGGTAGCATTCTAGTGCTACCTTCACTTCTGAGGCCTGTGCGAACTGTTGGCTGCTTGTCCGTGGCCCTCACTCTTTTTGGGCCGCTGCGGGGGACGCCCCAAGGCAGCGCCTCTCTTGGCTGGGCGCTGGGGCGCGCACGCCAACGCGCGCCCAAAGCCACTGCCCCTCTTCGCACGGTGGCGCAGACGAGCCTCAGTGGGGTCTGATTGCCGCCCGCCGTCTCTCTTTGTAGCCGCGGACCCTTTTGTCCGCGCCAGGGGGAGAGCATCCATCCACCCATGTTTAACTTGCCGCGACTCCAGCTTTGCGAGGAAGGTCTGCGGGGCACATGCTGCTCAGGGGCCCGGACGGCGACACTGTCCGAAGTGGTGCGCTCTCCTGTCTCCTCTCTCCACTCGCCTGCTCTCTTCTCCTCCTCCTCCTTCTCCTCGTCCTCGTCTTCCTCCTCCTCGTCCTCGTCTTCCTCATCCTCCTCCTCCTCCCCCTCCTCCTCCACCCTCCTCCTCCCTGCTCTGCCACCCCCCCCTCACCCCCACTGGGAATTCAATTCCAAATGCCCCTGCCCGTCGCGCGCCGCCTCATGGGTTGGAGGAAGGCCCTAAGCTGCGTTGTTCAAGCAGGCTTGCGAAATGTCTACTGGCCCCAAGCCCATCCCGCCACCGTGCCTGGGCTGTGGGTATGAAGCGCATTGGATGTTCGCTTGGATCTTGTGAGGGGCCTCTCGGGGGCCTCTTGGAGGCAGTCCAACCAGCCTTTTGGGCGTAGGTGGTCTACGGATGCTCCTCTTCCAACCCCCCTCTTCCCCTGCGGAGGAGGGTTCATCACTTTTCCCTACTGATATACACCCCCTCCCCCAGGCGACCGGCAGCCAACCAGGAACCATGCTCCCCCCCGCAATCCCTTTCAAAAAACACTACAAAACGCACTCTGCCTCCAAATTCGGAGCATGCGCAACCAACCCGATGCGCCACCTCCCCACCATTCCTCTCAGACACAGTACAACGTACACTTTGGGCCACGCCTGGAATCATGTTCGTGAGGCCCGCGACCACCTTGTGTTTGACAGGAACGGCGGGGGTGTCAGCATTTTGTCTGCTGTGCGCAGGGCTACCATCCCTGACGAAACACGATAAAACATGCACCTCACGGCTAAATCCGGGTCATGCGCGGCCACCCCGCGATCCTTGTCAACTGGTTTTGGCAGGGACGGCGGGGGTGGTGGCGTATTTCCTGTTGTGCGCAGGCCCACCAGACACAATGATGGGCATTGGTTTTCGATAAGGATGGTTGGGGCCGACATGTTTCCCGATGTGTGCTGTCACGTGCGCAGGCGCACCTGACAAACTCTGCACGTGCCCCGAACGTGGCGTAAGTGGAGCGCCTGGAGTATGCGGCACACCTGGCGCACGCGGAGGCACGTGGCGCATCTGGCGCACCAGGCGTGCCTGGCACGCTTGGGCTTCATGGGTGCCTGGCGCGCGTGGCGCGCCTGGCACGCGTGCCGCATCTCGCCCCAGCGTCGCGCATATGGGCTCGGTTTTGGTTCCCAGTAGCTGCCCATCCAAAGACGACCGCTGAACATGTTGAGGCTAGGATGTTACGTATGTGTTGGGAGGGCGGGTGGGAGTGAGCTGGCGGCTTGCTATCTGGAGGGTGTCTTGACCCTTCCCCCGACCCACTCCCCTGGACCCGGACGGGGGTGGGGCGCGAGGCGTTGGAGCGTCCAAGATGGCCCAAGACGGCTCCAAGAGGGCCCTTGAGAGCCCAAGATGAGCTCCAAGATGGCCCAAGATAGCGCACAATGACCCAAGATGGCTTCCAAGATGCTCTAACAAGCCCCACGAACGTTCCAAGAAGGCTTCAAGAGCAAGGAGGCCCCCAAGAAGCTAAAATCCTGCAACAACCGAAGGACGACCAGTGATTGTTGCCTTCTCGCTTTTCGCTTTCGATGGCCATCCGAGGCCTCAAGATGGCTCCAAGATGGCCCAAGAGAGCCCCAGGAGAGGCCCAATAGAGCCCCAAGACGGCCCCCAGAGCACCCACGAGCGCCCAAAGAGGGCTCCAAGAGGGGTCCAGGAGGCGATTGTCGGTTCCCCCGAGGGGGGGGGAGTAATTGGAGCTCCCCTCTTGTCTGATCGATGTCCTCCAAGATGGCCCCAAGAGCGCCCCTGAAGCTCCCAAGAGCGCCTCAAGAGGGCCCCAAGTGGGGCCCAGACGGCCTCAAGAGGCATCCAAAAGGCTCCCAAAAGACCCCATACGAGGCCTCACGAGGACCCCCGAGGAACCCGACTCTCCCTCCTTCTCATCCTTCTCCTCGTTTTCCTCCTCCTTGCCCTACTCCACCTCCCCCTCCTCTTCCTCCTCCTCTTCCTCCTCTTCCTCCTCCTCCAGCGACGACGACGACGACCCCTCTTGGGGTATGTAACGGCTTCACCCGCCCTTTGTTCTTCTGCATGCTCCCCCACTTTCCCTGATCACCTCAACTCCCCTGGGCATCGTTTCTGGATGGGCTGGTGGGGATACGCGAAGCGTTAACAATTAGGAGGCTAATTGGGGGCCTCTGGTTCCCCCTCGCCCATGTCCCTGGCCACCTACGACGCCCTCTACTGCCTTGCAGGCCTGTGCTCTGGCACACAGGGTCAGGGACTACATGCTCCGAGCGTGCTCCGCCGCCCGCGGCTTCCCCGTCCCCCGCACGTGTTCTTCTCGCTCCCGGCTGAGCCCGATTAGGTCCCGCAGCGGCCCCCCAGTTGCCTCCGACCGCGGCTTGATGCCAAGCCGCTGTGGCAAAAAGTTTCTCCTCGCCCGCCTGGTCGCACACCTGGGAGCGGATGTAACTGTACATCTTGAGGACCAGCATCTGCACCTTGTCCACGGCCTCGTCGATCTGCTGGGGGTCCTCAGGGATCTGCATCAGCCACCCGTTGAGGACCTTGTCCATTCCCGAGCGGCTCTCGATCTCCTCGGGGATGCGCATCCTCGTCCCCAGGTCATCATCCTCCACGTCCGCGGCGTGGTCAACGGTGGCCGCTTTCAAATTGACCCAGGGGTTCGAAAACGTTGAGGTCAGCATGTTGGAGAACAGGAGTATGAACTGGTTGAGCTGGCGATCCACAGCCTCGTCGTACGCGGTAAAGAGAAGGTGCTTGATCATTGGGTTCTGCTTGATGAGCTTTACGTGCTTTGTGTACATGGGGGAAAACATGTTCGCGGTCGGGTTGCCCTCGAGGCTGCTCATGAAATCGATGACAACTTCCTTCTGAATCTCGAAGAACCTAAGACATCAAAACAACTACAAAAACAGCATGTGTCGAGGACTTCTCAGGCCGGCTGTGTACTCCCATGTGCTCCCCCCTCTCCTGGCGCGCAAAACGCGCGAAGGAAGGCACCCGATGCTCCACCCGGGAGATCCAGCGCCGACCCAAGAAATTCACGCGGACTTCCGATAGCTCATGGTTAAAATGGTTTTGAGGGGGAAATATCCGGAGTCTGGCTCAGGGGGGGGAAACATTGACTGGGAATTGGGGATGCGTCGCTGGTGCGTCGGCGATAGGCCCTCGGTAGCGAATCCGCACGTTTCTGGGCGGGGCGCGCTATCGGGCCAATATCGGCGATGAATAAGCGATTAGGGGTCGATGCGCCCCCCCTGAGCCTATTCCCCCCGCCACGCTGCCCCCCCAGTTTTCGTGGCATAACTCAAGTCAATGGCCGCCTATCGGGACGATCGGGGCACCCCCCGACCCTCGGCGAGGCGCAGCCGCGGGAAAGCATCCCGAAGCGGGAAAGCCGCCAAGAACCGAAGACATCATGGCTTGTTTCCGACGCGGCGCCGTGGCGACGAGAAGCCCCCAGGAGACCCAGAAGGGCGAAACACGCCAGGGAGGGCCGCCCCTGAGACTTGTGGTCTTCGAGAACCACTTCAATCTCTCGCCCACGTACTGCACACGCCGCTGGAGCGGCAGGTGCGCCTCGTTGCCGAGCAGCTTCACCACGACGTCGCGCCAGGTCAGCGAGCTCATGGAGACGCCGCGGGCCTGGATGACGTCGCGCTTCTTGGTCTCCTGAGGGGCAGCGATGATAGGGGGGGAGGGGAACTTTTGCAAACGTAGCAGCGTTGTTCCCAACCCTCCTGTGTGTTTGGTCCTCGTTTTGAATTCGCAGCGTCGCGCGTCTCCTTCTCCTCTCCTCCTTCCCTCTTCCTCCTCGCCCCTCCCTCCACGTCCGCATCCTCCTGTTCCCTCTTCCCATCGCCACCACCACCACCACCACCACCACCATCATCATCATCATCATCATCATCATCATCATCATCATCATCATCATCATCATCATCATCATCATCATCATCATCACCATCATCATCATCATCATCATCATCATCATCATCATCATCATCATCCTCATCCTCATCCTCATCATCATCATCATCATCAGCAGCATCATCATCAGCATCATTCTCACCATCGCCATCACCATCATCATCATCAACATCACCACCATCACTACCACCAGCATCATCACCATCACCATTACTATCATGATGACCATCATTTTCATCACCATCATCATCAACATCATCATCGTCGTTATCACCGTCACCATCACCATCATCATCGTCATCAGTATCATCCTTATCACCACCATCATCATCATTGGTTTCATCATCACACGTAATATAATCATCATGTTTGTCATCCGCTTATCACCGTCACCATCTTCATCATCATCACACCACCATGCATCATATATTCGGAAGGCGAACCTATTACACTACTTGTGGCCTCATGAGAAGCTCCACCGAAGGCTCCAGTGGCAGTGTCCGCATGGATACCCAGGTCCATTCTGACACACCCCTCACACGCTTCGTGGCCCTGTTGAAGAGCTCCGTCGAAGGTCCCAGTGGCAAGGTGCGCATGGTTACTCATGGTCATTCTGGTACGCCCCTAACACGTTTCTTGGCCCCATAGGAAGCTCCGCCGAAGGCCTCTGTGGCAGGGTCCGCAAACTTACTCGGGTCCATTCTGGCACACCGCTCATACGTTTCGTAGCCCCATGGGGAGCTCCACCGAAGGCCGCACTGGCAGGGTCCGCATGGTTACTCGGGTCCATTCTGGTAGACCCCACACAAGTTTCGCGGCCTCACAAGCCTCTGAGCCCATTCCCCCCCTCACGTTGCCCCCTGATCTCCACCGCGATCTCGGAGAACCGCAGGAAGATCTCCACCTCGCCCATGACGCGCCGGAACTGGGCGCCCCCGTTCACCTCGGCGTTGTGCGCCCCGAGGTTGATCTCCGTGGTGAGGTACTCGATGTAGTCGTCCTGGCGAGCGAGCATGGTACTCATGCAGGCCCTTTCCGATCCGATGGGTCCAATTCGGCACATCTTTTCGGCCGGTCGACCCGACTCGGTCGGGATACTCTGGCGATCTGACGCGGCCCGCTGCTTGCATGGCCCTGTTGTGCGTCCTGCCGCAACCGATCCAACTCGATTTCGACTCCGTGCCGATGCGGCCCGATCCGATGCACATTCCGATTTGATCCGATTTGCCGATTCCATGCTGACTGATCCTGCCGATGCCGCTATTCCCCAGACCTCTTCCGGAATGCGTTCTGACCATCATCTCGAGGTGAATCCAGCTCTGGCGGCGAGATCCTCCCAGGAGGCACACATGGGCGAAAACGAGGCGAAGGTAGCGGCATCGGTATTTTTGACTCCTCTGTCCAGCCCGGCGAAGTCGTCGGACGGCAGCATGACGAAATGATTGGAGCCGTTCTTCGCGTGGTGCTCGTGGAACAACCTCATCTCCGTAGGCAGGTCCATGCGGCCCACCGTGACATTCAAGGACCCCTCCATCACCTGCGCTGTTCCCCGCCTTCTCCTCTTCCTCCTCCTCCTCCTCCTCCTCCTCCTCCTACTCCTCCCCTCTCTCCCTCCCTCCCTCCCTTCCCCTCCTCCTGCGCCCTCCTCCTCCTCCTCCTCCTTCTCCCCCTCCTCGTCATCATCGCCCTCCTCCCTTCTCCTCCCCCTCCTCCCTCCCCCGATCGTGTTCATCACCTGGTTCAGAGCGCCCGCGAAAGACTCGCCGCAGGCGCGCGTCGTCGCCGCCATGGCGTTGGGGTCCGTCTCCTCTAGCACGAGGTAGGAAAAAAAGGCACGAGCATACACAATCGGAGGTCCGCACGGGTTCCTTGGATTTGCCCTGGATGCTCCCGAAGATATGTATCCTGTGTTTTCTTGAAGGGCTTCTGATGGGAGAGGTCGTGATCGCCTGTCTTGTTTGCCGAGCGCTCAGGCAATCTCACCTGTCGATCACCACCGTCGCTTCCCCCCCTCCCCTCTCATTTTCCTTCTCTCGCTTTCCCGCCCCTTGCCTCACGGCCTGCTGGTCTCAGCCCTGGCCTGCTGGAAAGCACACGAGCAAGACAGTCGGCGCTGGACCCCCTTCCCTGGCGCGCAGAACACATCAGGGGCGGCGCCAGAGGCACCGCTAGGGGCGTCCAGTGCCGATCCAGGAAATCCACACGGACCTCCGAAAACGTATGTGAATGCGGGCCTAAATTCTCGACGTCTACGTTGAGCACAGGGGTGAGCGGGGAACGAACACCTAAGGGTGTGAGGCCCTTCTGGAGCCCCAAGTCTGGTCGAAATCGGCGCGTTCTCCCGACACGCCGACAGCAACACCTCCAGCTTTATGCAAATCAATAAAAACTTGACCTGTGCACGTGTGCATGCCGTCTGTGGCGCGTCGATCCTCGTACTCGGTCTTCAGGCTCTCGGCCTTCTTGCTGTTGGCGAGCTTGAGGTCCTTCAGCTTGTCGAGGACGGGCTGGATGGAGTCGTTGAAGAGCATCTCTATCTTCTTCGACATGTAGCCCGCGAAAGCGTCGAAGCCGATCGTGCCCAGGTACTTGGCCTCGATTTATGTTGCTCCCATCGTACTTCAGGACCATATCCCAGACATAATTTCGAGCACCTGGAAAAGTGTCGAAACAGTGTCGAAATAGTGTCGAAACAGTGTCTGCCAATGCCCGACACGTGAAAGCCCTGCAGTTTTTCTGTACTCTTTTGGTGCTCGAAATTCTTCCTGGTGGTCCAGGCTGAAGTAAGTTGGAACATCATAAGCCTCGATCCCCTTCGACTGCAGCTCCTGGCGGTCCTGTGCGCACTTGTCCGCCCGCATCTGCACGAACGGCTTCGGGGGCGCCTGTCCGTCCTGCCAGAAGGGCAGCGTAAGGGCGAAGCGGACCAGCGTGGGCGGCAGGTCGCCGTGGCCCTCGACCCACTTGTTGATGTTGGATGGCTCGAGGTCGGAGTAGTATTTGTCGAGCTTGTTGCGGACCAAGATCGTCCGCTTGAAGGTGGGGTCGAGCTCGCGACACTTGGCGAGCGTGGACATGGTGGAGGCGTCGCCGCACTGCTCCACGCACAGCATCACGTTGCGGGGGTCCCTCATGAACTTGCCGTTCAGCTCCTCTATCATTTTGGACAGCTCCTACCGATGATTGACTGGGCACTTTTTAGCAAAACGCCCTTCAGCGAGAACTTACATGGGCACTCCAGAACACGCACGGTACCGCATTCCTAATTGACCAGGCGGGATTGCTAATCGACGTCCAAACACACATGACTGTTTCTGGCAAAACACGCGTCGATTAGCGAAACCGACTGGGGACTGCACTGGCACACGCGAATGCCAATGTCGAATGAACCAATTCAGATCTCCTCAATCAACTTATCTGGGTTTGCGTTCTCTCAATGCCCGATCCTTCTTGGCATCGTCGATCGAGAAGTCGCGGAAGCCGGGGAGGTCCACGATCGACATGTCCACGCAGCCGGGGGACTCGATGCGCACCCAGCAGGGGTCCTCGGACACCGTCTCGCCCAACTCCTCGTGCGCGGCCCCGATCTTGGTCATCACCTCCGCGACCGAGTGCTCGTTCCACTGCTTGGTCGCCTTGTCCCGCACGAACCACCTGGGCGACGGGAAAACTGGGGCGTCCCACGGTCTCACGCACGAGGATGCAGCGACCTTGCGCAACTGGGGAGACAAAAGGTACCGATACCGCTGCTCCCCGGACCTCTCCTCTGTGCGTTCTGACCAGGATTTCGAGGCGAATCCAACGGAGGCGACGAGGGCCTCCGAGGAGGCCCGAAAAGGGGAAAACGAGGGGAGGGTAGAGGTATGGGTACCTTTTCCTCCTCTGAGCAACGGCCTACGCGGGGACTAATGGGAAAAAAGGACGCTTACAGTCGTCGCGCTGCCAGAAGGAACGACGATCAGATGCACGAAGGGGCTTTTTAAGGCCACGGCAAGCCTCGGCGATACATCGCTCCCCCGACCTTCAAACTACATTTTAAAAAACTACACTACTAAAATATTCAAACCATACGAAACAAGATCCCCAGACTATTTCTTACTATTTTTGAATTTCCCCCCTGTAGGGGGACAGGCCCGACTTACCCTTGATCTAAGGAGCGGCCCGGAAACTGGAGCCCCTCCTGAACCTGCAGTGGTCCTTGTCTCGGCGTCCTGTCTGAACGCGCGGCGCACCGCGTGAAAAGAAAATGCGCGCTCACGCGCGACCTCGCGCGGGCAACTTGCGCGTAAAGGACCAGCGCGGTGGCCCCCCTCTTCTTCCGGTGGTTCCAAGATGGGGTCCCGAGGGATGAGGTCCCAAGGACGAGGAGGCCTCAGATAACAGAAATCCAGTCTTGGATCCCTTCCTAGCCTTAGGACATCATCCCTCAGGTTCCTATCCTTGGGCCAAAGATGCTTCTGAAGGAGCCCTGGGACTAACAAATAAATAGACAAACATAACAGGATTCCCCAATATGTTCGCATATCTTCTTGACTTTTGCCTTACCCCCCACTTCCCATAGTTTCCCATATTTTCGGAGGGGATCGAAGATTAAGCGTGTCTGTGTGTTTTTGTTTCCCTCCCGAGCTTCTTCGTCGCCCAGAGACCTGGAGGCGGTGGCGCCCGCGACGTTCCGGAACTCCAGGACGGTGGGCCTCCGGCTGCCGAGCGTGCCTATGATGGGCCTGCCTTCCACCAACCCCACCACAAGTTGGAGGGGAGGGGGTCCTCCTCCTCCTGCTCCTCCTCCTCCTCCTCCTCCTCCTCCTCCACCCTCCTCCTCCTCCTCCTCCTCCTCCTCCTCCCCCTCCTCCTCCTCCTCCTCCTCCTCCTCCTCCACCTCCTCCTCCTCCTCCTCCTCTTCGTCCTGCTCGTCCTCCTCGTTCTCCTCCTTCCCCCCTCCAACTTCTGGTGGTGGTGGTGGAAAACAAGCCAATCATGCCTGAGACGAAGTTGAAGGTCTCCCCCGCGAGGGACTCGATCAGGCGGCTCTTGCCGACCGACTGCTTGCCGAGGAGGATGAACTGAGGCAAGGGGAAGTCGACGTCGCCGAGCTTGTCCTGCCAGCGAGGGCGATAGCCGTGCACCAAGGGGCGCGAGGAGGCACGATTTTCGGGTCGTCGCTCGGGTGTGCGGCCGTTCGGAGACGGTGCGGGCACCCCTGGGACGCCCTCGTCGAGACGCAGCTCCAGGAACGCACCCCGAGGCTGGAGAACCTCCAAGAGCCGACGAAAACGTCCGAAAGGCCAGGTCAGGGGCCCTCGGCTGCGAAGCGGGGGCTTATCCACAACCGCCGGCCGCCTGGGAGATCGACGAAAAATTAAACAGACTGAAGCAATACCACCCACTTCTCAAAAATAATCAGAAAATCGTCCCAGAATATTTTCTGACTGTTTTCGAATTTCCCTCCTGTAGAGGGACATGCCCGACTTAAGAGCAAGAGGAAAAGACCAGGGACGGCCGCGGAGACGGGAGGAGGGCGGGGGCAAACGCACGCGGCAAGGGGCCGCAAGGGGGCGCGCGGGGCGGCCAGGCTGCGGGGCAGCGTCGATCCATGCCAGCGTTTTCTCGAGATCAGGGGTTTGGACGCCCGAAATAGGTACGGAACACATGGGCACAATGCCCAACAGCATATGTTGTCCCAAACCAACAGCGGCCGCTGTTGGGCAGGCGGCCTTCTGTCTCAAGTGGACACAGGCCGCGGCGGCGCGGACAGCGAGTCCGGTTCAAAATGAACAGGTACTGCTGTTGGGCATTGTACCCGTTCTTTCCGCACCCATTTCGTTCGTGCAGAAAAGGGGGCAAATACTCCCCGAACAAGGAAGCCGGTGCCGCCTCGCTCGACGACAGCGAGAGCGCCGATTCCGAATGGAGGCGGGGCCCGCCGCCAATCCACACGCCTTGCAGTTAGCCCTGGGCCAGAAGAGCATCCCTCAAGAGCATGAGGCCCTCCGACGCCTCACAACGCACAGAGCAGCCAAGGGTACCCTCCCCCAGGGTGCACAAGAGCATCCCACAACTGTTTTCTTGTTTCTTTTACCACGGTCCGACGGTGACCTATGTTGGCGTTCCCTTGTGACCAAGGCAGGAGAAACCATAATCGAATCGATAAGTCGGATCGGCGATCGACATGCATCGGATCGGCGACGATCGGCAGCCGAGTCGGGAAAAGTCGAATCGACAGAAATCGGCAGGCTGGTAGGCCTCCAATAATAATAATATATCGGAACCCACATCGGAATCCCAAGCCGAATCGGAATCGGAATCGGAATCGGAATCCATCGATGTCGAATCGAATCGAATCGAATGGGGGGAATCGGAATGAGCCCTGCGAAGGATCGGGGGCGCGCAAACATGGATTAGCGATCCATGGATTTGGCGCGCGGTCGCCAAATCCATGGATGGGGGGAAGTGCCCACCCCAAAACGCGGCCGGCCGGCGTCTCCTCGCTCTGCGGCGACAATCCGCGATTCCCCATGGAAACGGGGCCCGTCGCTAATCCACGCCCCTTTAATCCACGTTTGCGATCGCCTGACGAGGAGGGGAGCCTCTTTGGAGTCCCGAAACGGTGCGGTGGCAGACCGTGCGGTGACCTCGACCCCCCCCTAAGACCCCACCGCACGGTCCGTCAACGTAGACGGTTTTGGGACCCTGGAGGCCCCCGTCGCCCGAGACGTCCTCGGAGACCATGCGGTGACCCAGAGCCCCCACCGACTCACCACACGGTGTGGTCACCACCGCCAGGCCAACCTGCGACAATTGGGACGTCGGATTTCGGGCGCGGCCTAACCAGCCCCTAGCAAACCATTCCCTTCCGTGGCGCCACCCTCGCCTTTCAAGCTGCCCTCTGGCCGCACACATACGTCTTGAGGCAAAGCGAGGGAGACGTCGCGGAAGGGGACGGCTTGCTAGGGGGAGGAGGAGAAGGAGCAGGAGGAGGAGGAGGAGGAGGAGGAGGAGGAGGAGGAGGAGGAGGAGGAGGAGGAGGAGGAGGATGAGG